CGGGGAGGCATCAGGCAATACCATCCGGAAGGGGTATCTGGCAGTAAGTGTTGGAGAAGAACAAAAGAGATTCATAATACCAACGGAGTATTTGAGCCATCAAGCATTTCACATTTTATTAAGAGAAGCAGAGGAGGAATTCGGGTTCCAGCAAACTGGTGTTTTGAGGATTCCTTGTGAAGTGTCTGTGTTTGAGAGTATCTTGAAGGTGGTGGAGGAAAAGAAAGACATGTTATTCTTGCAGGAATGCAGGTTTAACATAGATGATGACACCATGAGATGTTGCTCCTCAGAAAGCCAGCGGACTCCAACTCACCATCCTCAAAGCCCAATGTGCAGATAGTTTCTAGAATTCCTTCTCAACCTCTCTTTTTTCTCCCCGTTTTTTGATCTTTTTTTAACCAGGCTCTATGTAAAGAAGAGAGGAAAGAAGGGGTGTGAAGGGAAGAGAAATCAAATAAGATGTAGAAAGTGTAGGAGACCATTCAAGATTCATGAATGATACAGAGCAATTTTAATAATCCATCCTCTCTCTCTCTCGCTCACGTACACACACAGACACACACACGCTCAATGTGCCTTCTCTTTCTGCTTACAATTGACACCAGATGTTGGCCAAGCACCCCCTTAATTCGTCTTGATAACAACTTGACCGTTTCAAAACATCTCCAGTGCATAGCTAAGTACCACCTATCATCACCCTAATCATGGAAATTTTACACAAGGTTCTCCAGATTATTCTTGCATGAAATCAACTAAGGGACAGGATAGATAGGTCAACCGTAGAGGCTGTAGCATAACTGAACCTGGTAGGTTCTAATCCTCTGTTGACTGGAGCTTGTTCAGAGGAACTGAGAAAGGGAATAATATCTATAAATCAAGCTGATGGGTTAATCATCACAAAGGTTGAATGGTTATTAGACATTTAGAACAGATATCTTCAGTTAATGATCACAAGTCTAGAAGCTGCAGACCAGGTAATATATTGTACTCTATCTAGAGGCTGCAAAAACAAAATTTGTAGTGGGGAATGGAACCCTAGCACTCAATAATAACATCAAAGTAAAACCAGACTTGAAAATAAACAATCAAATTCAGGTTTATATTCTGAATCACTATGTTTCACTGTCAATGCTAATAACAGTAAAGCACGATGCAAGGACAATAAATTGAAAGTTTTGAAACTAACGGTTCAGTAATGACCTCAAGGCACAACAATTAGAGAAGTACGAGTCCAACTATACTAAGAAATAGATCCCATTAATACCAATCAAATTTTTAATTGAGTCAGGAAACTATGTTTCTCAATCTCATTCAGGAAGATGCAGTAAGAATAGAAGACCTAAACTGAATTACAAGGAAAAACTAATGTTTTTTCTTTTCCAGAAATTAATTGGTAGCCTTTATAATATGATCAGATTAGATATGATTTTTCATTTTCAAAATGCCTTTCTGTTCTGGAAGCCTTAGTAAGATAGTGAGATTCAGTGGCAAGTACTATACGGATTAACGGTTCCGAATTGTCCAACTCTAAATGCAACTGAATATCAGCAATATTTTGCAGTAATCAAAACTAGAACGATGGCGGTGCAACATGCAAGTACAGTGTCCCATGTGCTTGATTGCAGAAATAATTGTTTTAAAGTTATCATAATGCATTTAAATAACTAACATGGCCATTAGCTCTAAGATCAGGTAAACTATAGACTTAAAAAAGGATGTTTTCAAACGGTTATGATTAAATTCACATGCATCCATTGGTTTCAAACCCAAGAAACCACATCTACATGTTAGTGGTGACTCATCATCACATTTTTTTAAACCAACAATTAATTTATCCATTAACAGCATATGATTTTGTGCAAGATAGTGAGTCAAAACCAAAATGACACAGTAAGATCCAATAGATCAGAAACTCACATGAAGTCTGATGTAATGTTCTGTTTAATCCCAATGAAAGAGCCAAGTTGCAGAAGAGTAAACATCACACAACATTAATTACTGAATTTGCATTAGTTTTAAAAATAGACCTAAAGCCAGAGCAGGTGTATTTCTCCTTCACCAGACCTTTTTCTTAACAATATTATGCAACAGTTAATATCATGAAGATGCGTGTCACGGAAACTCAGTATTCAAAACCAGGGGTAGAACCATAAATTTTCTTTTTGGAGGGACCAATATGGAAACCCTTAGTTTGGGATCAACTAAGGAATATTTCAAAATTTTCTATATTCATTGGTTCAAAACAGGGTCATACAACCTCGACAGCCATGTAAGAGTCTATCATAATGTGACTACATTATCATTTTCTTTTCATTGAAGAGGGTTTCAAAACAGGGCAGTTTAGCCCTCATTACAGACAAGCACTCAAGTTCTGATACATCGAAGGAATTATAGAGTAAGAACTGCTAAGGCTCCAAATTAAAACATTTGGGAGGGGAAAACAAATAAGTACTCCAAAGTGGTTGGGAGGGAGGGGTGGAAGGGCCTTTCGTTTATGAACTTCTATGAAATGATGAAGCCTAAGGAGTCATGACATCAAAATGACATATTGAAGCAACAACAAAAGATGGCAATATTTTCTTGTCTTCAAGATGTTGGACCTAAGAAACACACTAAGAGAAGGTCAGAAAGAATGGTCTGTTCCAATGGAGCCCGGCCCATTTTCAAAAGTCAAAACAATTGTAACATCACATTCTATGATTGATAAAGAAGAGGACCTACTCATCTCTTCTTAGTAATTTTTTCATTTCTGTTGACAAAGAAATACACTAAGTCAACCAATTATACCATATATAAATAGTAGAATAACACTGTCCATCAAGCCAATACCATGTCTGAAGGAGATGGTAACCAATTTGTAGCTCATAAACTGCATTACACAGATGCCTCTCAAAGAATTTCTTCTTGAGGGTTGCAAAGTCACAAAGAAAGGAAAAGAAAGAAAACCCGAATGCATCCTCATCCAGAGAATTAAGGGTAAAGTCCTGGAGCATGCAAATTTATAGAAACCTACAAGAGCATGCTGAGAATGATAGCTCCCTCACCGCCAATATAAGCTGAGCACAATCCATGACCAATTTGCAAAGATAAGAACGATATACATGTTTCACCTATTTTCGGGACATCGATCCACAAGAACATATTTTTCTATGGACCATGGTGTTTTAAGAATTGTTAATATTAGACACTGCAAAGATCTAGCAAAAAAGACTCTCGAAACCTAGAACCACTTTTATTAGGTTTCCTTGTGTGTATTGTTCTCAACAATTTTATAAGGGTAACATGCAAGTTAAAGCCTTTCAGCCTTTGTGTTATCACATATCCTCATCAATCTTTGTTAAGAACTTGAAGGTATAGTCAATTTACCTACATTTCACAATGAACCTTACTATACTCATTAAAGTTGCCTGGGAAGTGCAATTCATTAAAGAAATAGCTATTGATTTACTGCATATTTTATAATTATTGATGGAAAGAAGGTCACCTCAATATTAGGTGTCCTCATCAATTATTCAAATAATTTTAAAAATACTTAAATAGAAAACACTATCTACTTTGACAAGTAGACATTTTTAATTGATAAACTCATGGATTTAGGTAAAGTTCCAATTTTTATTATATTTCCTCCACTTTACAGTCAAAAAGTTCAGCGCGGCTAAGAAGTTGTAAAGGAGTTACCCCGGTTGGACTAGCTGGAGGTGCGAAGCATACAGATTTCAAGAACTTCCCGTTCTTGATGATGCCGGCTGCGTAATTCTTGTAAAAACCGAGCTTCGAGGCCACCATTGCAGAGTTTCCACTTCCACACTCATGCAAAACCCGCCACTTCTTCGCCGAACTACTCAGACAAACGTGGAATCCCACATTTTAGAATCCGGAGCTCTTCCAGCAGCCTCAATGCGAGATTCCTCCCCAGACCTTTCATTGCAACCCACGCTGTTCTCATCTGCGATGATGATATCGAGGTCGACCCGAAATCATTGGAATTCGGCTTCAGATTATGGAGGTCGAATCCAGACCGTCTTATCGGGCTTCTCGTGCGATCATACGACGTCGATTTAGAAAGGAGGGAGTGGATTCACACGGTGCATCCAGACAAGTACTCGATCGTGCTGACCAAGTTCATGACGATGAAGACAGAGTAGCTCCGGAAGTACAGCTGCGGCGGCGGGGCGGTGATGGGAGAAAATGCGACGGATCGTCAACGAGAAAAATAACTGCGAGGACATACTGATGAACTTCATCATGGCAAACAAAACAAATGCGGGGCCGGTAATGGTGGCGGTGGAGAGAGTAAGAGATTGGGGAGATGCTCGGAATGATGAAGACGGTGGTGGTGATGGAAGGAGGAGATTGAAGAGCAAGGTAAGGGAGGTGGGGCTGAGTAGCAGGAGAGCGGAGCACCGGAAGAGGAGGGGAGGGGAGATTGCATACGAGAGTTCCACGGAGTGTTGGGAAGGATACCGTTGAGATACAGTTACGGGAAGGTAGTTAATTCAGTTGGGGAGCAAGGGCTGTGCAATAAAGGCGGAAAATTGGTGTTTTTGTGATGAATAATTAAGCTGTAAATTTGCATTACAACTAACGCGTTCGAATGGAAGGAGTTGGATTTTTTTTTTATTTTTTAAATTTTAAATTTTTAAATAAAAAAATAAATATAAAGAGAACTTTTTTATTTTAAAATTTGATATGATTCAATTATGATGCAACTCAATTATAAATTAGTTGAAATTAATAATAAAAAAAAATCTACATTGTATGCATGAAATAGTTGGAGTGGGGTTTGGATTCACGAGTTAGAAGGTAACTTAGTTTTAAAATTTTAAATTAGTAAACTTATAGTGGTAATTACTTGTCAAAATATAGACATTTAGAAATGTGTTGCAGTAATTTAATTTGATAAGAATTGCACAACTATAATTATTGTAAGAGACAAGAACTCCTGAGTAGAACAAATGGTAACTCATCGTATAAAATTTTTCATAGACTTTGAGTTTGAGGCCATTTCACTCCCCATTTTCCCTGGGTTGGGTTTCTCGGCCCCTTAGAAACCTGTTCAAAAAAAAAAAAATTTTATTGTAAGAGATAATTTTTGAATATGATGCCTTCCTCCCCAAAATTAATGGTCAATTTAAGCGTTCTCACAAGTATAAGATATTAGAATTCAAGAAATAAAAGTGGTATTAGAAAAATGTAGTATAGTTTTTGGCTTTTTCTCTTTTGTTTTCATAAATTTTGTAATTCTCAATTAAAAAAAAAAAAAACCTCTGTTAGTTTCATATTTATTTGTCAAAATATTATTATGAAAATAATTTTAACATTGCTAAACAAATTTATAGTTTGAATAGATACTGTTGAAACTTGTTTTAAACAAAATATTAGTTTTTGGATTTTTGTCTTGGTTTTTAACTGTTATAAATTTTATAAAAATCAAAATAAAATATCAAAAACCACAACTATACTATAAAAAGCCATAAAAATCTTAAAATCTTTTAAAATTCAGGTTAACTTTTGTTTTTCGCATTTTGCTTTTTGCCCTTAGAATTCAGGTGCAGAAAAATACTAGTCGAATGAAAATCGGTTCTTGAGATACTGGGCCTGATTTATGACCGAAATAGTTTCTGGGCCTAGGCAAATACATAACGTGAACAGTGTGACTGTCACTGTATAAAGTCCAATCCAGGCCCACTTTTTTGTGAACCCAATTTTTAATTTCTTTTCTGAATGAGGGCACTATTTAAACTTTAAAAGGTGCAATTTCTTCAAATTTTCAGGGAAACAATCTGTGGAAGGAAAACTCGATGAAGCGCAAGGATTTTGAATATGATTTCCTTTCCTTCTCCAGAAAATCCAGAAGATTGGTACTCTTCTTTAATCGCTTCCGCCTCCAAATTTGTTGAAATAACCAATTCCAGAAATCATTCCGAATGCTGACTTCGATTCTTGTTTTTTTTTTGTTATGGAAGGATGGAGAGCTGTTCTCAGTTATGGAGGATGATCTAGGAACTAAGGTTCCTCAGGTTCTTGAAGAGCAGCAACTTCCGACTACTAGCATCGTCCGGTGTAATTTTCCGTCATCGGAGGAGCGAGCTCTCGTGCTGTGTAATCCGTCCAGCACTCCGTTTCTCAAATTTCCTAGGTCGCAGGAGTTCCCTATCTTCGTCCATTCCGATTTGATTCCAGGACTAAAAGGTCAGTAAAAGTATCTTAATGAATGTTGTAGTATTGTGCATTGGTAAATTGCTGTTAGCAATGTCATTTTGCTTTTGAGAATGTGTACATGTGTAGCTGTTTGGCTAAGTTTATAGACGCTGTGACCTGTCAGGTTGGGATCCATTTTTTCCTGGCCAGCCAAACTAGAATCACTATACAATTAGTTATCTATTTTCTTGTTGGTTATACTTTTTTCGTCAATGTGTCTGCGGCCAACTTACTTGCACCCATCTGGAGACTAATCCATCATGTTATCCACACCAAGCTAGAGAATTCAAGTGGAATTAGTTTATCATTGGCCTCCCTAAGGAAATTTGGTTACACTTCTTCTCATGAAAAATCAAATACTATAAGTGGAACGTACATATTGTAAATCTTACATGGTTCTTGCCTTCTTGGTTTCATTGGCAGAGAACTTAGTGAGCATCATTTACCTGATAGAGGAACCTTGATTTTATTTGATTTACTTGGCATTACTTGCTTTCTTCAAATATTTTTGTAGTGGAAGATTTGTTCCTTACCTTATTGCAGTTTTAATTCTTGTTAAATTGATTGATTTCTCTTCACTATTGCAGATTGTTTAATTTGGCCAGGGGAAGTAAGAAAGATGGGATTTGAACCAGCTATGGATGAGAGTTCAGGAGGATCAAATGACCATCTGGCTGTTATTCCTTGGGCATCAACATCACTTCCTTCTGACCCAATAGACCTGGAAAAAACGGATATTGAAATGATGGAATTAGAAGAAAGTATAATTGCTACCAACAACAACAACAACAACAACGCTTTGCAATATGGTGAAATGATGGAATTAAGGGAAGGATTACAGCCCTGGCAACAGCCTCAGAACTTATCTGCCCCAATTACTTGGTAACAAATAGGTGGAGCTGCTCTAACTCAAGCTGTGGATGCACATATGGTGGTAGGATTCTGGGAGCCATGACCCAGGATTTCTGCTCTTTCATATGCACACAAAACAGTCTGAAATAATCAACCTGACAATCTTTGCTAGGGATGTTCTTACAGCGAAATGTTCTGAAATTGAAAATCTAAGAATGTACTTAGACTTCTAGACCAGCTTCAAAGAAGAAATCTCAGCAAGTCTGAAGAGTAAAAGTTACATATAATAATATACATACCCTTCAAAATTACACATTTCCTCTTATAGTATGTAATAGAAATCATTAATATTAACAATATAAATAACAAAAATTGTTAATTTTATCGATATAAATACTAAAACTTATTAATTTTTACCACATAAATAACAAAAATTGACAATGTATAACGGATATGTAACTTTGTAGGTGTATTTACCATTCCTCAAAAGTTACTGATTTTCGAGTAGTTTAACACCTCTTTTGCCAATAAAGACTGCAACGATGCTGCCAGAATTACTACTCGATGAATAAAGATAAGCAATCCAAAATTCAAACCTTTTAATCCATATAAATAAAATAAAATAATGTACCAGAACTAAAAAATAAATCAAGCTGAAATGAGAGAATAACATAGCGAATTTCAAAATCGAAGAGATCGAAGAACAGAGATAAAAGATGATAAACCAATACCAAGACAACTAAATCAAATCAAATCAGAGTGGTCAAATGGAAGTTTAGCCGTCGATGATGCAGCTCGGGGCAAGTTGCGTAACGAACCCTAATCTGTTGCAGCGGCAGACTTCGGAAATGTAAATACATAGCCCGCGAGAACAGGGCCACAGGGCCCAAGACAAAAAGGTGAAAATGAGAAGACCTGGAACCTTAGTTACGCAAACATTTTTTCCTTTTTGACGGAAACTTTATTTGGATTATTGACGAGTACTTTAAACTTCCGAGTACAGACTACAGAGGTATATATCCACCCACTTTATGTAAAAGAGTAATCAATAAAAAATTACCTTATAAATAGATATAGTTTTATCTCAATTGATTTAAGAATCTCATCCTTCTATAAATTTATCTTCATTTTCCTTTTTTAGGAAAGTTGACTCATATAAGTAACATATTAGGTATCTTAATCCTATGATTTTTTCTTTTTTAATATTGGAAGTGATATTTGAACCCCACATCTATCAAATTTAGTATAAAAACTCCTTTACAAAAAAGAGGTAACCACTAGATTAGAAAAATATTATCTAATCTTACGATTGTTTTAGTCTATCAATTAAAGTAGTTTTAAGGGGTGTTTGATTTGGAACTTGGTTAATAGTTTTTGGTTGTTAATTTTAATTGAATATATTAATTATAAATAATAATAATTAATTATCAAATATCAATTATTAATTACCAACTATATTTGAATAGTTAATCCAAAAAGGAAAACTAATTCTTTTACTGGAATCTTAATTGTGATTTTTTTATCTTACAAGAGAAAAAAAAACATTCTATCTTAATTCTGATTTTCTTTGCAAGCATTTAATTAGGAGTATAATTCTAAGGGGTTACTTGCTATAATGGTTTCTTGCTACAATGGTTTGAAACTAATGATTGATGATTTTATCTAATTTGATTATTGATGATTACTATTATTAATAATTTAAAGACTTTTTTTTTTCTAAAATTAAATGAAATTACTAATTAATAGTATTAAACCACTATAAGCTGTCCCTACAAAAAATTTTTTTATAAAAAATACTACTTCCTACAATCAAATTTAGTTGTCTCACTTTATTTATTTATGATTGTCTAAAAATTTGTTTATTATAAGAATTAGAATTTATCTTTCCATTTTGACACTTATTTATAATTAAGCTCGAAAATCCCAACACATTTATATCTCTTTTGAGATAAGGGAAAATTGAAATATTAACATTTAATATGTTATTAAAATGAAAAGTAAGACAATTAAATTAAATTGCCAATTTAGTGGAACAACTAAATATGAGAAAGTATAATTTTAAAAAAATTTCTTTCCATAAAATTATCTTAACAAAAAAAAAAAAAACCTTTCATCTCAATTTCTATCTACTTATCCAACCATCTATTAAAATTTTAAAATATTATAATTATAATACCATATAATATTAGAAATTTATAATATAATCTGTTATTATATAATTAATACTTTTTATTTAAAAATTTATTTATAATATTATATATATCTACTTGTTTAATATTATATAAAATTATAAATTTATAATTATATATGATATTATGACTATAATATTATCGATTTAAATTTTTTTCTCATAAATTTTTTTTTATTCAATAATTCATTGACCAACATTGAATTCAAGTTCAAGACTTATAAGTTGAGACTTTAATCGACATTGTCTCACAGAAAACTTGGAAAGAAAAAAAAAAAGGAAAAAAAAAAACATTTCCTAATAATTGCCATTGCTAAAAGAAAAAAAGGAGAATTGACATTAAACTTGGAGATATTTGATTGTAGAAATTGGAAACAATATCCAAAACTTAAATTTAATGACAGTGAAGGACCAAA